ATCTCGCAGCCCCTCCTCCCTCGCCACCTTCAAGACCCACCTCAAGACCCTCCTTTTCGACCGTGCTTTCGATCTCCCTGCTTCCCCCCTGCCCTCCACCCTCCCCCACCCCGACCCTCAGCTCGGGTCCATAACTCTGTCTGTCCAGCGCCTTGGGATGTCCTCCCGACATGAAAGGCACTATACAAATGTAATTTTGTTGTTGTTGTTCGCTAATATTGCTTTTTAATTTAATTTTTTGCATCACATCAGAATATATGAATTATTGCAATACTGTATATACTCAGCATTGATGAATTTCATAGGTTGTTTCCTGTGTAAATCTGAAAGAATATGCATTGATTGCGATAAAATACACATTTAGCAGGATTCTCAAAAAATGTCAGCTAAGATTACAAGCTATCTAAAGATATAGCTGAGGGACCACGTAGATGAATAATTGCCATCATGTAAGTATTTATCTCACTAGATCAATCTGGAAACAAAAAGTGAAAACAATCTTTTGAAATTCAATGCTTCATGCTGTTTGGGAAGAGGAGTCACTGCTGGGATGCAGTTCTCTAAAGCGTATATGTCAGCAGCACTGAAAGTCACCAGGGGACATGAGAAAGTATTGCCTGTAACTATGGCCTTGTTCAAAAATTCACTGATTGAAGAATGAATCATCTTGCTATATACATTTGTGCCTCGTTTTGCATACAAGTGTTTCAGTACGTTTCTTTGTGCTATGCTCTGTGCATTTTTAATGACTCACCCTCATTATAAAAAAGCAGCCATCTATTTATATAGATTTAATTTTGTTTTGGGATAAGACTCATTTCTACCATGTTTTAAACTTGAAGGTGCTTTGCAAGTCTAGTTCTGATTTTCACTATATTAAGATGCATCAATTCATTATGACCTTGTTGGACAATATTACGTCATGAATCCTATAGAAGATGACATTCATTATTTTCTTATTACTTGTCCTCCAATTACAGTCCCAGCTCTGGTCATGAACGCTCACTGACATCATTTTAAGCCTCTGGGAATCAGATGCCACGGGTAGGATGACGTTAATGGCACAGGATCAAAACCTGAGTATGCTCACCCGAGCACTGCTCTGCGTTTTATGTCAGAGCAAAATATAACACTGATTGACGTAAACATTTAGGTGGATGTTCGTTTTTAGATATGCTTTTCCCTCTGGATATTTGGACTGAAGCACTGGTGCTTCTCTAAATTGAATGTATAACCTTACTGCCTTTTTTCAAGAGACAAAATTATTGAAATATGTTTCTCTCTGATGGCTAGAACTGGAGCAGTATGAACTTGCAGTCAAACATGAATAAACCTGTATGCTTATGAAGGAAACAAGGACTTTGAGTTAGCTCCTGATTCCCTTTCAATGAAGGAACATCATTTAAACATTGACTCCTAATATAATGCCTTCTTGCCAATCAAACCTTGGAGACTCCTTTTTGTATAATTTGTATCTGTAGTGTTTGAATACACTGATTAAATTGAAGTGTCAGAACCAGGTTATCTTTCATGAATAATGGAAAGGGCAGCATAAATTTCCATGATCTTATGTGGCAACTATTAATTTCAGTGTCACTCTGGCTCAGTTGGCAGCACACTCGCCTCTGAGTCAGAGATTATGGGGTCAAGCCCCATGTCAGAACTTTAAACTCACAATCCCTCTAGGCTGACACTTCACTACAGTGCTGCGTTGAAGAAAGTTCGTCCTTTGGATGATATGTTCATCCGAGGTCCATTCTTGCCTGTTCAGGTGGATGTTAAAGATCCCATGACGCTATTCAAAAAGAGAAGGGAATTTTACCCAGTTCTCTGGTCAAGAATATTCCAAATAAAATTGATGATTCACTTCTTGACGGGTTTGGGGAGGAATTAATGTACCCAAATTGCCTACCACATTCAACAACAACAACAACTTGTTTTTATATAGCACCCCTCATGCAGGGTAGCATCAGAGCATTTGACAGTGGCGAGCACGACTCCGAGCCAATGAGGAGGGGACCATATACACGGTCAAATAGGAACAACAACAACAAGAAGATTCTATTTATAGAGCGCCTTTCACGTCGGGAGGACGTCCAAAGGCGCTGGACAGTTGGGTCAGGACCCGAGCATTGGAGGGGAAATGGTCAGGGTGAGGGGAGGGAAGGGAGGGAGTGAGGAGGGGGTAGAGAGTCGAGAGGGGAGCTGAAGGCACGGTCAAAGAGAAAGGTCTTGATACCGGCCTTGAAGGAGGAAAGGGAGGAGGCGGCGAAGGCACTGGGGGATAGAGTTCCAGAGCCTAGGGGCTGAGAGGCTGAAGGCCCGGCCACCGATGGTAGGGCGGTTGGGGCGCGGATGTGGAGCAGACCGGAGCCAGAGGAACAGGTAGGTAGGGGGATAGGAAGATCTTCAGGCACGATCTGAAGTTGGGTAAGGAAGGGGCAAGGCGGAAGGATAGAGGAAGAGTGTTCTAGAGTTTCAGGGCCTAGTGGCTGAAAACACGGCCACCAATGGTGGAATGGAGAGTACGAGGGACATGCAGAAGGTCGGAGCCAGTCGAGCGGAGGTAGCGGGGCTGTGGGTTGGGGGGTAAGCAAGTCGGAGAGGAAGGGAGGTGCCAGGGCACGAAGGAATTTGAAAACCACCGTGAGGATCTTGAAATCGATCCGTTGGGCGACAGTGAGCCAGTGGAGCTTGGCTAGAACTGATATTCACCTAATAAATACAGTCACTGCACTACAGAAACTGTGAAGCGCTTTGATTAAGCGCTCTGACATGCTGCCTGCGCAGAGGGCGCTATATAAGTGCAAGTTGTTGTTGTTGAGATATTCTCAATATTAGGCACTGTATTAAATGTAAGAATTATTATTATTATTACACTTTACAGTAAATCATGTGAAGCGTTTTGAGCTGCCTTCCTGGCAGGTGCTATATGGAAAACAAAGATTATTATTGTGACTTCTGGAGCAATGTGACCTTCTTTCACATTGACTTTCCTTACGTGGTCATGTAGCCACATTATGACAGTTACATTCCATAGAGAGAACTATGCACGATATCTGATTTTATTGATGTCTGAGCACACATGCTTTATATTGTGGTACACATTTTGGGTCATATTTCCCTTTATATAGTGTGTTAATGCTACATTGTAAATTTAGATGGTGTACCTACTGCTGCAACTTCTGTGAAATAACCCACAACGGTAAACACATTACTTTTCAAAACAGTCGTCTCTTGTTAAGATAGATGTTCCAAATGGTCTTAATAATAATAATCCTTGCATTTGATATAGCGCTTTTCATGTCGGGAGGACGTCCCAAAGCGCTTCAAAGAACACACTGCAAAGTGAATTGACTGTATATTTGTGGGCGAACGCAGCAGCCAATTGCACACAGCAATGTCCCACAAACAGTCATAGATTGAAAATGACCAATTTATTATTGTTTTTGTTTTTGGAGGGATTATTATTAGGTGTGTGGAGTAAGGAAACTTGCCCAAGGTTTCGCCCTGCCTGGAATTGAACTCAGGTCTCTCACTTGCAAAGCGAGTGCTCTAACCACTGAGCTACAGGACTCCACGAAGGATTCCTTCTCTGTTCTGCATGTTGAACCCTGTACTGCTGTGCATCAAAACAATACCCACCCTGATAACCCAATTAGCTTAGCACTGAAATGTAGAAATGGTCTGAAAATCCATATCAACTGATTATCTGTTTTAGAATTTATCTCTGTGTAAAGGGACCACCAATAAACTTTCTGGCCAGAAGGTGGTAAATTCAATATCTGAACTCCTGCTGATAGCTGATATTCCCAGTTGATAGCCAGCAGTTAACCTTACTGCCCTGTGTTATGGTACACAAATTCCAGTTGTCAGATTCCAACAAGTTCACTGTCTGATGATCCCTGCTGGAAAGTCATGTGTATGGATGTTTGATGAGGATGGGAATGAGCTTGGCTGTGATACCCTTCTCGATTGAATAGTCTATTAAAACATGTTGCCTTAACTCACACACGACTAATGTGGGTTAGTCCCTTCAGGAGAGGAGGATAGAATGGTAAAAATCTGCAAAAAAATTAGGGACGATCTGAAATTGTATCTTGAATCACTGCGGTGAGTTTTCCACACCACCATAACAGCATTCTCAACGTTTTAGGGTGCACCAAAGGCAAGGATTATTATTACTATTGTAACTATCCAGTGACTTTGAAGGAGGTGTGGGAAGGGTTAGTCTAAGGGACTCTTGGATGGTGTTCCAGAGGGTGGGCAGGTACCCTGAAACCCCAACCGCACAAAAAATACAAACTATACTCTAATAAAATACTTTTTACTAATCAAATGTTAATGAGATATATGTAGAATATAATACTGTTGACAAAGCATGACTAATGTGAAAGATACATTACAAATAAGAAAATACTTAATAAGGACAATATTGATTTGGCTAATTTTGAGTACATTTGCAAGATTGATAAGCAGACTACAGAAGATTATATCAGGCCAGTGAAATACCAGGTGATATTCTCTCTGACAGAATGCCGTAAGAATTCTTAGTGTAACTATTTTCACATGAGGGGTATTTTTAGAAGTCATAATTCACCAGTTAAACTTGCGTCCTAGGAGCTGGTTGAACTGCACTGCCAGCTTAACTGGTGAATTATGATTTCTATAAATATCCACTGTTGGCATTGTGCACAATAAACACATTGTCTTTGGGAGTGATGTTGGTTTCAATCTTATGAACGTCTACAACAGATAATGTGCTCAATGTTGCCATTTAAAAATTCACAAGTTACTCAGCATGAAACTGGGCCGTATAATGACGCAGGAGTGATCACTGTTCTGTGCTCCATTAGTTGATCTCAGGGTGGAAGCAGTTGATCACAAAATTACATGACTGACACAGATGAAGAAGATCTATTGATCGTTTGATATCATCTTCCAAAATAGCAACACTACCATCTTTCCAGAAACTAGCTGTTTCTTCAATTAGCACATTACTTCCACCACCTCTCTGGTAAGATGTTCTAGTTATTGATTTGCTAGCTTGGCTCAGTTGGTAACCCTCTTGAGTCCTGGGATTGTGGGTTCATTCCCATGTTGGGATTTTGACCTCCTAGTCAAGTGGGTTGACACTTCAATACAGAGCTGGTATTGCTGTAATGCTGGAAGTTCCATTTTTCGTCTTCACATTCACCTAGGGTGGGTGTGGGGAGCGGGGTGTTGGGATTGAATCAATATCTTCTAAAAATTGGGTAAAATTATAATATATGCTGAGGTCAGGGAGGAATTTCTTAATCGGATTCCATAATAAGTAATTTGATATATGCAAATTGGAACTTCTTCCTATAACCAGACATGTGTCATGATGACACTCATGTATGATCTGCTTGAGTAGAGTTCCCATATGTTGATGGAAATTTTATTAAGGAATCTTGTTAAGATTCTACAGAAATTTATGTATACATCTTATATTTATGAAGAGCATATCTAAAATTCCAAGGCATTATGCTCATCAGTTTGTTGCAACATTTGTCTTACATTGCTCCAATCACATCACAACTCACTGAATCAGTGACAAGACTTTATTTGTTAACTTCCAGTCCTCAATTTTCCCAAAGTATAGATTTGTTCACCCCCAAGTTAGAGTCAAAAGGGTTAGTCAATTTGAGAACGCTTGTACCCAAGCAATTACTTGGCTATCCAATTTACCAGAATCTTCCCATATCAAACTGATTGACTATAGCCATAGGGTAGCTCAGTGAGAACTCAAAACCCTATTAGTGTAACCTTGAGTATGTCAGTGAAGATCCACAAAGGCTGCACTATGTACATGATGGAGTTCAATGATGATGGAACTCATTGCCTTTAGGCAAGAACTATTGAAAAACTGAACTCCACAGGCTTGGTTCTTACCAAGTTAGTAGGATACTTTTATATGTGATTTACTCTTCACATTTGTTTTATTTAAAAATATAGATGTTTTATTTGAGCAATTCAGACAATTTTATGCAATGTAGTGAAGTGTATTGGCTTTTAGCTGAGCCCAAAGTGTTGCTGCTGTTGGCAAATAAATTTGGCTTACAACTGGAGCCCTGTGTTTTTCACACATATGAAGTAACACAAAATAAAACGGAAAATGTATAAAACGAAATAAAATGAAGAATCATTACAGACACAGGAAGAAAGCTAATCCCAATTTGTATCATGGATGGGAGAGGAAACAATGTCACGAGGTGGGGGACAGACCAATTAGATGCAGCTTTGCGTGTTGTTGCTGGCCTGGACGGGGTGAGCGAGCCAATGATGAGCGGCATTATGGTGGTTGTTGGGAGTTGCGCGAGTGGCTCAGTAAGGGGCACAAGCTATGGGAGCAGTGGTGGTTGGTGGCGGTGGTTGGAGATGGAGAAGTGTTGATGTGGAGAGGAGACAGCAGTGGTGGCGGTGAACCCTACCCAGAGCTGCCCACCGTCTGGTTAAGGGCCGTATTTTTCCATTATGATTATTTGGATGCTTTCATAGCGTTAAACTAGACTTTACACTATGTTTTTATTTATACACTTTCATTTGAGGTATTTGATTCATGCAGATGTAGTAAAAAGAAACAAAACATTTTTAATGGATAAAATAGGAACAACACGAAAATTCCTGAAAAACAAAACGAAAAATTATAAAAACTCAAAAGAATTTCATGGGGCTCTACATATAACAATGCATGTAATTTGCTATCTTCACCAATTTTCATGTCAAGCTAACTGCCTAATTTAATTTCAAACTCCAAAATCCAATGATAAAATATGATTTTGTAAGCTCCTGTTTTGTTGTTGGAATTTCCTCGCTTTATATCTTTGTCTCCACTTTTCTGCATCCGCCATAACTTTTCCTCAGACCTAAAGGACAGAATAATCTGGGTTTTAGATTTTAATAAAGGGATTTATCCTATGCCACATCAGATGATGCTGACGAACATTGGCAGAATCCATGACTTCTCCGTACTGCACTGTCAAACATCTGGTGACCCAGATCAGAACCAATAAACCTTTACCACTGGAGAAAGCTGTGGGACACAGTCAATGCTATCAAAATATTGAGTATTCTTAACTGTTTTTATTGGTAACTTGCAAAAGGCAATGAATATGAATAAAGATGTGACATTTCTCTGAACTCATTTACAACTATAGTTATGTATGCTTTGAGCAATCACTCTCCTGAGAACTTGCATGATTAGTTAGTTGATTTGGAGAGAGTTCTGAACTTCACAGGACTTGCATAAGCCTATGAGAACTGTTTTTTAAAAAAAACATAGTGGGATGCTAGAAATATTTCATACTTTGTAATAAAGAGGAAAGACTGATATGTCACAATTTATTTTTTAAAAACTACTCCTGAAAGCAGTCAAATGAAGTCTAAGGGACGGCTGAGCCTCTACCAATATGAAAGCCAATCTACTGGCTCTGCAATCTCTCATACCACTGTTAGCAATGTCAGTGTGGCACATTTAGGCTTTCTTGCCTGCAGCTGCTGAATTCATTTATTCTGAGGAATCTAACGCAATGCTATTTGCCCATATACTATCACTTGAGAGCCTGTTTCAAATGTCCTGTGTGAAGAAATATTGTCTCAGGTCCAAACAGAAGAGAGTTTTCTGCAGCTTTTATCCATCTTTCATTACATTGTTTCCTTGAAGGATATTGAAGACATTGACAAGAAAAGTCTCTTTATTAGTCACCGACCCTGAAGTTGCCAAGTGTGGATTTTGGTGCCTGAGGTGCATTATATACTCCATGAACTTCTTTACCTGGAGAGTGGTGGTAACGTTGAACTTGCTACCACAAGGAGCAGTTGAGACAAATAGCATAGATGCATTTAAGGGGAAACTAGATACGTACTTGAGGGAGAAAGGAATAGAAGGTTATGCTGAAAGGTTTAGTTGAGAAGGCGCAGGAGGTTTATGTGGAGCATAAACACTGGCATAAACCAGTTGGACCAAATGGCCTGTTTCTGTGCTGTATATTCTATGTAATGAACTCACATTAAAGAGCATCTTACTGCTTTCTGCCCATCTGAACATCCTATTCGGATCAGCTTACAATCTTCTAATCTTTTCTCTAGATCCTTATTATATCAAAAAAATGCAAGGATTATTATCCTACTTTGGCACCAATTTTCATGTCATAAAAAAAATAGTTGTAGGGCCATTATAAAGACCAGGGAACCCAATTTTGTTGAAACCCCTGGAGACAGCCCTCCGATTGGATCCTTTTCTATTAATGACTATTTTCTGCCTTCTGCTGCTCAGCTAACTGTCTAGCCACCTAGCGACCAGCACCCCATACTAGTGACCCTGAGCTTGTCCAGGAAACATCTGTGTGGGATCTTGTCAATAGCTTTTTAAAAATGAAAGTAGATCCACCAGGTTAATTATCTGCCTGTGCTCAACTGGCTGCTGTGTTTTGGCCACAAAATACACAGTCAATCCACTTCACAGTATATCCTGTGAAGTGCTTAGTGTCAATGATGCGATACGGCGCTATATCAAATGCAATTATTATTATTATTATTGAAAGAAAACCACTAAGTAAGACGCAGTCTTGTCCTCTGAAAAATGTGCTGATGTACCTTGATAACCCCTGACGCCTCAAGCATCTGAGCGATGGATGGCATCCTTCAGCAGGTCCCACATTGCCTATTACTCAGGTGGAATATTCATTCTGAAACAGGTAACCAACGCACGTTAGAGGTTGGGAAGAGAGGACTGAATGAAGGTAGTGAATTAGCAGTTCATAATAGTAATTCACTTCAACAATTTGCCATTTAGTGTCTTTATGCTTAACTGGATAAAAATAATCATTCAGATTGCACATCTTGTTACAGATCAGCGTATTAGTTTTCCTCTCTCCAGGCAAGATCTGGCTTGTTTATTTTAAGACAATTTTGTGTTATAATTAATTACTGTTTAAGATATTTACACAGGTACTCCTCAGCGATTACTCCTTATCCCTTTTAGAACCAAATTCATTCTGTGGCTGTATTGCAGTACAGACTGCAACAACAAATGACATTCATATAGCGCCTTTCACATTGGAAGGAACGTCCCAAAGAGTTGGACAGTTAAGGATTCGCACCCCAGCTGGGGGTTGGAATCAAGAGGGTTGGAGAGTAGTGGGAGTAGCCGAAGGCACAGTCAAAGTCGAAGGTCTTGAGTTGGGCATTGAAGGAGGTGAGGGAAGGGTCAAAGCAGAAAGATTGGGAGAGGGTGTTCCAGTCAAACATATAATGCTGAATATTATTGACTTGAATGGAGCCTCACAGCTGTTGAATCCTGATAAATAACCAGTTTGCCAAGCTCCCTAAATGGCCTTATGAGTAAAAGGACTGTCTGGTGTAACAGTGAGTCATATAGATGAGAAGGTCTCAGGTATAAATCCTGGTCTGGGTTGAGTTAGATGGGCAAAGGTTGGGGTGTTACAACTGTCTCTAGGTTAGACAGCGTATCTGTTCTTGATTGCTGTCCAGTGACCCTTCCTACTCCTTAATATCCAATACTATAAGCCTGTAAAAAGTAGTAATTGTACCATTACACTATAGTTCTATATAGTAAATTCCAGCTAACTCATCACTCAAGGAAAAAGAATCCAGTAATTAATTATCCGATATGATGAGTTAGCTGGTAGTCCTCACCTTTTGCTCTCAGCCCACTCAGTACCACTCAGCACCGCGCTCTCTCGCTCAGCCAGCATCCGCTCACCGTGGACACCATAGCTGAGCATGCGTGCCTACCCTCCACCGAGAGTCCACACCGATCACAGGATAGGGTGGGCGGCCATTGTGTGGCCCTCCAATAAACCAGAGGTCTCTGTGATGCAAAACTTATAGGACAAGTTATCCAATCATTTTACATTGCAAGTACAACGGGTTTCTCCACGTGTCAGACACTCGGCTGACCACAAAAATAAATTTATATGGTAAGCAGTCAGTATATTGACCACTTAATGACAAATGATAGTGACAAGTTAAGCCAAGGTGGAGTTATCCACAGTTTACAGTAATTGAAAGACTGTGGTAATTGAGCCATATAAATGCACCAACTCACTGCATCACAAAGTAACTGGAAGCTGTCTCCCCGAAATTCACTCATACCAATAGTGGGAGCCACTGAGCACAAAGTAAAGAGCTGCCCTGAGAAAATAACTGGCAAACATTGTGTGCAATGGGCAATTCAATACACTTTTAACTGCGCAATTCTGGAATATAATAATTATAGATTTTGGCTTCTGCCAGGGGCTATTTTTCAGCAGTGCATATTTCTATTTTCTCGCTGGAACACGAATGAATCATCTTAAATGTTGACTCATCAAATGCATTGTATACTTTCCTTAATAATTTATTGTTCATTTCATGCTTTGATCAGCATAGTGGTAGGATTAGAAAGTAAGCAAAAAGTAATGGACTAATGAAGCTCATGTAACCAGAAGAGGAGGTAATCACTTGAGATTTGGCATTGGGGTGTAGGTGAACAGAAACTGGTTGCTTAGCAATAATCAAGCTACATGGAGATCTATTGTAAATCTAATTGTTTCGGTATAATGTTCATGCTTATTTACATGCGGGTTAAATCTATTTCACTGTGTTACTTTCATTGTGGTAGTTCTTTACCACAGGAACATAAAGACAGAAGTAAGCTGGACTCCCCATTTCACCATCCGGTCCCATTTCACCATTTTTCCAAACATCCGCAGCCCCCATTCCTCACCCACCCCAAACTCTGCGTGCTGAATACCCAGTCCTTTCTTTCCAAGCTCCAGTGGCTTCCTGTTTCCCAACAGATTGACGTTAAGGTCCTGACCCTCACCTATAAATCCTAACATTAAATTTATAAATCCTTTCACACACTAGCGCTTCCCTATCATTCTGATATTCTCCTACCCCACTTTTCTGCTCACTTCGTCTGCTTGACTAACTCAGGCTTCTTCTGTGTCCCAGCACTCTCTGCGCCACTATCATTAGCCAAACCTTCAGATACTATTAACCTCTGGAACTCTTTCCGTCTACTCCTCGGTCTCGCCTCTCCACTCTCTCTATCTGTTCTATTGCATCCATGATCACCTCGCACTTTTCCCTCTCCATTGCTCGGTGTCTGACCCCATCCCTGTGGAACACTCCGAGATGTCACCCTATGTGAAGGGGCAAATGCAAGTTATAAATGCAAGTTGTTGTTGAGAGTCAATCAACCTCTAGAGCCTGTTCTGATGTGAGGGCAGATCTTTTTCCTATTTCTTGCCTTTCCCCCCCATAGTTTTTATAACCTTGTTTTCCAATCTAACCTTTCTTTAAACATCCCAAATTGATTCTGTAACTACAACCTTCAGGGGCAATAAATTCCACATCCACACAATTTTCTCTGGTGAAGAAATATATCATACTATATACCGTATAATAGTTTATGTCCACTAGGTTAAATTCCCAGAATTTAGTAACAATGTTTATTATTGATTTATCAAAAAATGGAATAAAATTAGTGGGGTGGAGCAGGAGTGCCTTTATTCCACTATGTCTTCCGAGCAAACTAAAACAAACACTTGCGTTCTGGCGGTGTGTTATGTTGAAACAGCTCAAAATGCTTCTCAGATAATAATAATAATAATAATAATCCTTGCATTTGATATAGCGCTTTTCACGTCGGGAGGACGTCCCAAAGCGCTTCACAGAATAGACTGTAAAGTGAATTGACTGTATATTTGTGGACGAACGCGGCAGCCAATTGCGCACAGCAATGTCCCACAAACAGTCAGGGATTGAAAATGACCAATTTATTATTGTTTTGTTTTGTTTTGTTTTGGAGGGATTATTATTTGCAGGCACACACGGCAATTCGATCCTTGCCAGTGCAGAGTTAGTAGAGTGGTTGTGGTTTGCACTGAGATCTGGTTCATTTCAGTGAACACCTGCACCAGGTTACAGCGGGGACTGTCCGTGCAGCGCATCCCCCCCAGAGCCAACACAGTGCAGCACCGCCTCCCCCCTTCATCATCGGGGCTGCAGTCAGCTCCTGGTGTGGTCACCGCCTGTGCTCCGGTCTGATTAGTGTTTGCAGCTTCTCTCGGGAACCTTATTTCACCACCGAATTGTGAATGGTCGGAGCTGGTGTCAATCTGGAAGAGTTACCGCGTTGCTGGAATGGATTGGATACTCGGGCTGGCGATGCAAAATGTCAATGGATCTTTCTTCTCCCCCCCACCCCCCTTTTTTTTTTTGCTTTCCCCTCTCCAGCTGTCAGGTCAGGCTGATTGAGAGTAAAGGTAACAGAGCTCCAGTCGAAAGGAAAGGGAGAGTTGCAGCCAGATACAGGTAAGAATAGGAGAAATCTGATCCATATGGAAATCAGTCTTGCAATTGCAGAATACTTCTTATTCTGAGCTTTGTGCTGTAACTGATCAATATATATAGCTTATGCACACACACACACACACACATTGTGGGAATATCAGTCCTTATCCGCCTTGGCTGTTCAGCTATAGATCTGAAGCATTAAGCTCTCTCTGCTGCTAACCTATCTGCTGTATATGCATTGGTTGGATTGCAATGTGTTATTTACAATGTTATTAATGCTATCAGTTTCTCTCTCTTCCCTCCCTCCCTCTCCCACCCAATAATAATAATAATAATAATAATAATAATACTGGAATTGATCTGATGATCTCATAACACAGCAGAAATAATGAGAAATCAATCTGGGATGGAGTGAGCGTCACTAGTAAAACAATTCATCTGTTTGGGCATTTATATGTCAATTTCACATGGTCGCTTTCTGGTTTGGACGCAAGTTCCTGAAATCTTTGCAGCCTCTGCAGTATTTTGCGTCTTGTTCCCGAAATCTTTTTCTTTTTTTTTTCGCCCTCTCCTTCTCCCCTGAACCCCATTTGGGTATTGGAAACAGCCCTGCAATTTGGAGAGCATTACTGTTTGTGTGAAGTGCTGCAAATTGGAGGTGGACCACCGATACTCTGTGTTGCAAAGTACCCCCATAGCGTCTCTGTTCTCTCTCTCTCTCTCTCCCTCTCTTGTCTCTCGTGTGTGTGTCTCTCTCTCTCTCTCTCTCTCTCTCTGCAAAACAGGGATGAGAGGAGACGGTCCGTTTTCTGGGATGAGGAACCTCAAGCGCTTTGGTGACATCGAGAGAGCTGTCGCCGGGAACCTTTTCCTGCTTCGGGCTGCAAACGGGGAGCTCCAGAGCATCAGCGATCCCGACGATCACATCCTCTCACAGCAGGACTTCGACCAGATAACGGATTTCAACGACCTGCCCACCTCACTCTTTGCCTGCAACGTACACCAGGCTGTGTTCGAAGACGAGGAAGGAAGGGTATGTCCTGGACCACTGTCACCTTGAATGCTCTTTCATTCATTCATGTACCTGTGGGGTGTGTGTGTGGGGGGTGTGGATCCAGCAGCTGATGTGCTTATCAGAGGTGTCTCTCAATGTACCAGATCTTGCTCGGTGCTGGAGGAAGGGATGGGGAGATGATCTGTCAGTGAACACAGCCAGACCATGAGTCACTTGTTATCTGTTGGGGGGGTTGATTTGGAGCCATTCAGAAATATTACATGATTTAAGCATTCCAAACCACCCCCTTTGGTTTCGAAGAACCAGTTGCCAGATAACGGCTGCGGTGTTAAAATATAATATGATTGTTAGTATTATTGGTTGGTGGTGATTGCCGCGTGGGCATAAGAGGGCTCTGCTTTCCCACCGCAGAGCTGTTGACTAAGAGGCCATGGTTTCTTTTGCTTGAGAATAGTATTTTCTATCAGTTTCTTGTATTCTGTCAGTTTCGTTGTGTTTTCTATCATTTTCACCCCCCTCCGCCTCCGCCTCCCCCCATGATGTTTGGCAAAACATAATCTAAATTGTTAAGTCCCTTCTGAACAATTACAGCTCAATCACAGATGTATATGAGATTGGTGTTAAACTGTTGAGGCATGGATCCCATCTGCTCAATAAATAGTGGAGTCCTGTAGCTCGGTGTTAGAGCGCTCTCCTCGCAAGCGAGAGACCTGGGTTTGATTCCCGGCAGGGCGAAACCTTGGGCAAGTTTCCTTACTCCACACGCCTGATAATAATCCTTCAAAAAAAAACAATAATAAAATTGATCACTTCCATCCATGACTGTTTGTGGGACATTGCTGTGCACAATTGGCTCCCGCATTTTGCCCACAAATATACAGTCAATTCACTTTACAGTATATTCTGTGAAGCGCTTTGAGAACGTCTAGAAGACGTGAAAAAGCGCTATATCAAATGCAAGGTTTATTATTATCAGTGCATAATAGGCCTTGGCAATATGCCATGGGATCCTCAGGACCCAGGTAATCTGAGGTCCTACCTCAGTTTCTGTGAATGACTTTATATTTTTCTGAGTTTCCTCATGGTAATAACGCCTCGTAAATCACATGCTTGGTTTCCATTCTATGTTACTGTCATTATTCTTCAACGGTACATTTACAAGTGATATACAGTGGAGTCCTGTAGCTCAGTGGTTAGAGCACTCGTGTTGCAAGCGAGAGACCTGGGTTCAATTCCCGGCAGGGCGAAACCTTGGGCAAGTTTCCTTACTCCACACGGCTGATAATAACCTCTCAATAAATAAATAAATAATAAATTGGTCACTTCATTCACGACTGTTTGTGGGACATCGCTGTATGCAATTGGCTGCCGGGTTTCGCCCACAAATATACAGTCAATTCACTTTACGGTATATTCCGTGAAGCGCTTTGAGATATCTAGAAGACATGATAAGTGCTATATCAAATCCAAGAATTATTATTATATAAAACAGTTAGTTCGACTGGGCTAATGGGCAAAAACAATCCCTGGTGCCCCATAGACCGAAAGCTGATAGATTTGTTTCCTGGCTGACTTGTAGCTAATTTAAGACAGTGTAGCGGTTTGGGTGATATAATGGATCAAAGCAATACTGTAAACTAGGGAGGGGAAAATTCAACCATGATTGATTCATGTCTAATAACTCAGGCTGAAATGCACAGTGGATATTGGGTGAGGCTAGGATGAGCGCACTGTCAAATAACCTGGTGGTACTGATTGTCCAAATCACTTGGAACTGCAGTTCTGTAAAAAAAGTAATTTAAAGGAGTATGGGTAAATAGGACTGAATTGACTGCATTTTCAAAATGTGAATACAGACATAATGGGCTGAATGACTTTTCTCTGTGCTGTAGATTTCTAAAGGTACCTGAGGGCTGCTGGTATCCATAGAATGTCACCAGTGAAATCATACCCCTGTAGGAAGCAGGAGTGAAGGGGAGAAAATTGATGAAAAAATTCCCACTATAATCTTAGTGTAATTGTACGTACAGTAATCACTCGGTCTGCTGTTGCCTGTTCTGTTGTGCAGGATAAAGGTTCAGATTTACATTTTCAGCTTTGAGATTACTCCGTCTGACTAATGTTATCAACTTATATAACACGATGAGAACAAAGTACAAAACACATGAAACATAATTCTATTCATAGCATCCTGGAGAAAACAGAAACTTCTGATCTGGTATTATTTTTGGAAACACTGCAAAAATGCTGCTCCAAGGGCTACTGTCCAGCAGTCTTGGCAGCTTCAGCTTGTGTTTAGCATTTCATTTGAAGAATTCCGCTTCCTCAGTGTATCAGTGCCAATAGTACTTTGAGGAAGAAGTACTACAAGAACAATAACTTGCATTTACATAGCATCCCGTGAATAGAATTAACATTGGAGCTCTTCACAATGAGCAAGGGAGGAGGGGGGCAGGGAGATGACCGTAGTTACGCTTGAAAAGGTAGGTTTATAGGTGAGATTTGAAGGCAGATGGAGAGAAGACAGAATTGAAGGATAGAGGGAGGGAATTTCAGAGGTTAGGGCGAATTTGTCGAAATCTCAGCCACTGATGGGAGTGATGGACATGCAGCAGGTCTGAGTTACCTGAGCAAAGGGAATGAGCAGATGAATGGAGGAGCAGAGATTAGAGGGATATCGGGGGACTATGGTGCGAAGGGATTTATTATCAATCCGATGGGAGCTAAAAGAGCCTGATAAAACTGGGGTGATGGGCATGCAGAGCTTGATGTGGGGGAGGTGAGGAAGGCAGAGGTTTGACTCAGCTGGAGCTTATGGATGGTGAAACTTGGATGACTGGTGAAGAGTGCATATGGGATGTCTAGTCGGGAGGTGAATGAGAATATTAAGAATGTCCCAATTTCACAAAATACAGACCTACATCTGTGTAAAGCCCATGAGAACCCACTGCTTGTTCCTCTTCCCCAAGATAATTATATGCGATTAACATACCTCATGATGTCTTGCATAGCAGCCTGATGGATGTATCTGCTCTCTATCATTAAATGAGTTTCAGACTAATACAATGGTTATTGCTGTGTATGAAGCAAGAATTGCTGAGCCTTCAGCCACTACGGTGTGCTCTCTGGAATATTCTCCAATAATTCCTTTGACTCTCTCCATGCCTTCAAAGCCCTCTCAAAAAGGCCTAAAGGTAAAGTAATGTATTCTTGGTCAGAGGTCAACTGGTGAACAAATTCAGCCGCGTGACTGAATAGTACTTAAAAAATGCGAGACATTTTGATCCAAAAGGAGATTCCAGATTTCAGAGTGCAACAAGGATGGTGCAGATACCAGGCATTCATGACATTCACTGCGCTCTTACTGTTGGTGTTTATGGAAAGCCACAGAAGTATTTTTGAGCAAGTGCTTAGTACGTATGGGAGTTGAATTGAATTGCCAATCTTGCACATCAAGTTAACCTGCCAATCCTGTAATTAGCCCAGGGAAAGTTTTCAGTAGCTCCTAAATAAAGTCTTTTGTTTCAAGCAATGTTAGGTAACGTGTTTAAACTAAGTCCTTGCTGTATCAAATTTCAATACATCTCTGAAGGGATATATGAAAGTCATCAAATATGACACTGCAAACTGTGAAAGCACCCTGTGTTCTTATAATTGTCCATCTGAAATTAAATGAAAAGTATTTTTAGAATAAATGACAACCGTGGCTGCCAAGAAGAATCTAATCAAAACTTTAGAGATGATGGGATGAAAAATGATAGGATTATAACCGGTAATTATTGTATCAAATCTTTTATAAAACCTTGCATTTTTCACCCTGACGTCTTAAATTTGAGCTTTCTGTTACTTTCGTTGGCATTTAAATTACCCACCCCAAATCACTGCTATTTGTTGTTAACAGTATATACAGGGGATGCTTTGTGTGTTCTTAATGTTGTTCTTGGCTAATTTTGTGCCGCTTGTGGCACTCAGGTTAACATTGCTGCCAACGTGCTCCATGTCTATGCTGCTTAATGACATTCACTAAAGAGGATTAATGACTGCAGCATTGCTGCTGCAGATTTATTATGGAAAACTACATATGCTATGGTCCTTTCAAATGGTGTCAAAGCTGATATTTTGCTCTAGTTGCGAAACCTTGGGCAAGTTTCCTTACTCCACACGCCTAATAATAATCCCTCCAAAACAATAATAAATTGGTCATTTTCAATCTACAACTGTTTGCGGGACATTGCTGTGTGCAATTGGCTGTCGCATTTCGCCCACAAATATATGGTCAATTCACTTTACAGTATATTCTGTGAAGCACTTTGAGATGTCTAGAAGACGTGGAAAGGGCTATATCAAATGCAAGGATTATTATTATTGTTATTATAGTGAGGCATGCCTCAAGCTACGTTGGAAGGCAAAAGTAGCCATGATGTTGGGTATAAAAATACTTGAGACATGTCTCCACCAATATTATCAAAAGAAAAATATGGGTGCACGTTTTACAATCAAACCACCATGAATACCCTATTCAACCTTTCGGTTGTAGACCAACTCTTTTGTTAAAGTTAAGAGGAAAGCTTTGCATTTGGAAACAACAATTACATGAAGATCTGGTGCTGTGTTGCACCTTAAAAAGTAAGCTGCTGTCCTAATTGTAGATGCATTGTAATGCAATAATAACAACTTGCATTTCTATAGGGCCTTCACATAATTATTTCTTAGAGCGCTTCAAAAAGATGGGTCGGTTGCCAAGCAAGGAAGAAACTGAGGAATGGAAGGATAATAGTTTTAACATGTGTAACATTTGTATTGTAATTATAATATAATGGGACTTGATCTATCAAGCTTTTGGTTTAATGAGAAGAATACTGAAAGACTGTTTTCTGTGCCAAATCCAGGCCTATGACTTTGCAATCTCTTTTTTGTAATACCCTTTTGCAGAATTGGATCACTTTTTAAAAAAACAAATGATTTTTGGAGATGAAATTTCCTTTCCTTGAGTCTGTCTCAGACATCTTTTAAAGCTG